CAAGGTCAATGTGACCTTGACTTTTGACCCCTTGACTCCAAAATCAATAGGGGTCATCTACTGGTCATGACCAATCACCATACCAAGTTTGAAGTTCCTAGGCCTTAAGGTTCTTTAGTTATTGATCGGAAACCGTTTTTGCTTTCAAGGTCAATGTGACCTTGACCTTTGACCCCTTGACCCCAACATCAATAGGGGTCATCTACTGGTCATGACCAATCACCATACCAAGTTTGAAGTTCCTAGGCCTTAAGGTTCTTTAGTTATTGATCGGAAACCGTTTTTGCTTTCAAGGTCAATGTGACCTTGACCTTTGACCCCTTGACCCCAAAATAAATAGGGGTCATCTACTGGTCATGACCAATCACCATACCAAGTTTGAAGTTCCTAGGCCTAAGGGTTCTTTAGTTATCACTCGGAAACCATTTGGTCTACGGACCGACGGACCGACAAGTGCAAAGCAATATACCCCCTTTTTTTCAAAATGGGGGCATAATTATAAGAATATATTTGCACAAAAAAATACATATGATACAAAAAACATATTCATTTGTACATCAGATTTTATACTATGTAAACTTATTTTATTCTCAACAGGGACATATTTTATAAAGACTTGATTGTCTTGAATCAAATTCTAGCTTGCTTAGTTTAATAGGGAGAACATCAGATAAGTAATCCAGATGGCTCAGTGCTGTGATCCTCAGATAACAGTAAGACCACATTTTTTAAGGGAATGTGTTTTGAAATGAGTGTATTTCAAAAATATTTTTACAAATCAATAAGTATTGTTTTCAGAGTTGATGCAACAAATATTTGTCAACCCAATACATCAACTGAAAAATAACAAATGAAACACAAGCATAAAAATTATAATGAGCCAAAAAGGAAGCTTTATCGGTTTGGAATGATTATTTTTCAAGATGCAAAAAAGTAATATAACCTACAAGCCAATATTAGCTTCAAATCCTTTATTAAGCACCTCGGATATATATAAATTTGCCCAAATATTATACATCTTATTATTTAAATGTACACTATTTATCATGATAAATGTACCAATGTACACAATATTACTTGATACAATTGTTCACAATTTATTTGATACAAATGTACACAATTAAGCTTAATACCAATGTACACAATTTAGCTTGAAACCAATGTACACTTTTTAACATGATACCAATGTACATAATTTAACTTGATATTAATGTACACAATTTATATTGATACATATGAACACAATTTAACTTGATGCAATGTTCACAATAAAATTTTATTCCAATGTACACAGTTTAACTCGATACCAATGTACACAATTTAGCTTGATACAATGTACACAAATCAACTTGATACAAATGTACAGGCCTCGACACTAACTTTTTTATCAGGTGGTAAGCTGGACCACTAGATTTGAAATTAAGGTGGTCCTTCCAGAAGTCAAGTGGTCAATTATTATTATTATATCAGTTTACTGTAAGTTTAGAAAAAAGTATGCTTAAAATTGATGACAAAGATGTATTTTTAACCTTTAAAGAAAACAGACATTTTAGATATATATTTTTAGTTAGTAGGAATTCTGTCGTGAAGTTATTTGTTTGTTTTTTTCATAGCTCATTCAAAAATACACAACAGGGCTCTTATTTGTGTTAACTTATATATTGAAGTGATTTCTGTCTCAACTCAAGTTAGGGAATAGTGAAACCATTTGTGTCTGGGTTTTTTTCTTACTGTTATTCAAATATACATTGCTGATACGTGGTACGTCTTATAATCATGATAATTACATGTATCTTTTATAGATTAACATTTTAATAAAAACTAATAAATTATCTTAAAACAAGGAAATATCTAAAGGATAAAAAATAAAAACAACTTTATATATAACTATAGTTTAGCTTATTTTTCTCACATATTTATTATGAATACAGAATTCTTACCCCCAATTGCTTGTTGGTTGATATTTATTTTTTACATTGAGTATTTTTAACCTTTTATTAAAAATTAAAAAAAAAGTAATCATCATTTGAATGCAATTTGTACCTAGCTTAATATCACAAATTCTTAACTCTTTTAACTTGCATAGACACAATTTTAGCGACTTAAAATGAAAGTTATTGATGATTTAAGACCTTCTTTAACTTATCAGATTAATCTATTAATGAACCATATACATGTTCATAGGACAAATGGTTTTAAACAAAATATATATAACATATTTTTGACCAAATCGCCATTCTCCCAAATGAACTTTGCACAAACCAGAAAATTCAAGTGGTACGACGGACCAGTGCATTTTAAAATTAGGTGGTCCTTGCCAAAATCAGGTGGTCTCGGACCAACGGACCACCGCTAATGTAGAGGCCTGAATGTACACATATTAACTTGTAACCAATGTACATAAATTAACTTAATACAAATTGAAATAAATGTACACACTAATGTACACAAACTAACTTGATACAAATGTACACAATTAAAATCCAACAAAATGCACAAATTAATATGAAAATACAATTGTACACAATTAACCAAGTTATGTCTCAAGACATAACTGTCCATGCACCTGTATGCATCTTTTCATAAGAAAGAAACAGAACAATATAGTATTAACTCAGTAACAAGTGTTTTGTTGATATAACAGAATGATAATTTGAGGACATTACCAGCACATGTACACAGAAAGCATCTAAAGAACACATCATGTTCAGACTAGCACTAAAACACAAACATTCATATTATATATAGGATATTGAATAAGTGTGGGTTCAATACTAAATTTTTTTAACAAGTTGAATAAAATCATATTATGCAAGTCTCTGGTATGCACGATGTTGCTTTATTCAACGGATTCAATAATTTTAGTATTGAATCTACACGAAATAATATTCTATTTATCACATACCTAAAATAAGAACTGTTTATAGTGAAAAAGAATCACTTTTACATTGATGCGCTTATAGTATAACGCTAACTTTTAGGGTGTCTTTAGGCAATGTTTGTATAACACAAATGACGTCACTTCAAAATATATGCACAGCCGTGCAATACCGTTTCTATAGAGTTGCAAAAGCAGCACAGGTATGTGATAAAAATAGATATCAGCAAGACATAGAAAAGCATGATCTGAACTGAAACATTCAAGCAAACATCACATTTCTAAACTAGCATTTTTGTCACCATTGAATATATATAAAGTTTAGTGTTTATGAAAGAAGCTTTAAGAAGTTTTAACAGCATTTTTCTACTATCACTATATTGAATTAAAAAAAATTATGTAAAAAAAAAAAGCATTTTGAAAAACCATTTTTCTACCATATATATATTTAATATAAATTTTGGGGTTAATAATGGAGACATTTTTGAACTGCGTTTTATTGCTAAAGATTTGATTTCATACAAGGTTTGTGAAAGGAATATGTAATGAATGCAATGCTATGAGCAATTATTTTCTAAAAATGAGCCTGTTATATTTAAACTTTAAACCCTCACTGACATTAAGATGCGTCATATGCACTGATTTTAGAATTGTTTCATGAAAATAAAGGAACTGTTTCATGTAAATTTTGAAATCAATTCATGAAAATTAATGAATTATTTAATGTAAATTTTAGAATTCTTTCATGTGAATTAAGGATCTCAGTTTCATGTAAAGTTTTGGAATTGTTTCATGTAAATTTTGGAAACGTTTCAAGTAAATTTTGGAATTGTTTCATGTAAATTTTGGAAATGTTTCATGTAAATAAACATAATTTTGATATCAATACATTAAAACTGAGAAGACAATATCATTGCAAATGTTCAGAGAATAAAATTACATTACTTGTTTAATTCAATACACAAATATTTCAAATGGGCTGATTTTATCATTCTTTCTTTTTTTCACTTTTGTTAATAGAAACCCTAACAACTCTTTTTATCAAAATATGCATTATATAATTATCAAAATGCTGTAACATGCTGAACTGTTTACATATAATTGTAGTGTCACACCATTTCTGTTTACATTATGAAAAACAATACAATTAATCATTCAAAACAATGCTTGAACAAAAATTATTGCATTCATGGATTTTGAGACACACAAATAAATGTACAATTCAGTTTGTAAAGATAATCATTCATTAAACTTATTTTTATATAAAACCAGAACGTTTAGTGTCAACAAAAGTTGTAATAATTCTAATCTAATTGGATAAAATAGAAAAATTAGTTATTTTGAGGTTTTACAAACATTATATTTTTGTTAGTATTCATAAGGTAAGTATTATTCATTCACTGCAAATTTGTTAAGATTATAATTATAAATATCAGACAAAATTAACTTGTTCCAATGACATTTCCTACCAAAGGTGTGCTATACAAATATAAAGTGCGGCACTATATTTTCAGCTATAATAATACTGTGGAAACAACAACATCATTCAGTTGGTGGGACTTTTAGGAAACATTACGTTGGTGGGAAGAAGAGATGATAATTGGTCCTTTCTGTTTGATTGTAAAATTCCTATTAACAAATATAATCATTTGAGACACAACACAAAGAAGTTGCTTCTACATTCACCGCCCACATTTTGGTGCCCTGACCAGGACATACAAATATAAAGTGGGCATTATATTTTCAGCTATAATAATACTTGTCGTAAGGCAACATTCAGTTGGTGGGAGGACGAGATATTCGGTGATGTCTGCTTGATTGCAATGTTCCCATTAATAAATATTTTAACTTGAGACAAAACACAAACATTCACTGACCACATTTTGGTGCCGTGACCAGGACACACAGATATAAAGTGTGGGACTATATTTTGTGCTATAACAATACAAATAGAATAAACTTACATCAAATCATAAAAGTAACAATTAATATTTTACAAATCTAATTCTCGTTTTATAGGAGGGATATATTTCAAAGGCATTAGTTTACCTTTTTTGTGTAGGGACTATAAAATTGGAGTGCAAAAAAAATTAAAAATTGGAGTGCAAGGGTTTTAGCAACATTTATCAGATAGAAATATTGAATTTCAAAGGAGTATAATACTTCTGGGCAAATATGGTGGATATTACTTTGCAGGGTAGAGACTATTATGGTAGTTATTGTATAAACTGAGGACTTTAACAAAATGATTTCAATAATTTATTAAATTTCAGGGAGATTATGGTATTATTAATTCAATAAAATTTGTTACTGTTAAGATCTTTTTTTACATACACTACAAACAGCAAACAATCTGGCTATACCTGTAAGATCTTTCATGTATGTTTCTGACTTCAATTCAATTTGATAATATTTATTTAAATACAATGGTGTGCCTTGCTTTAACAGATTAAAAGTCATCATAACTAAACTATTGTAAGCAGTGAGTGACATCATAAGATTTATAATAGATCAATCTGAAAATTCATTAAACATTATACCAAACACATGTATTACAAGCAAATTAATAAAATTTCTAAGAAATCCTACAGAGTGAAGATCAATCTGTATCACATAGGCATAAATTCCATTTTCACAAAAGAAATTCATATTAAAAAAGCCAATCAAAAATGATTATCATGACTGTCGCCATAGCTACAAAAGCAGTTTAATGATGAACACACACATTGCTACACATTCTACATACAGGGAGGGTAAAATAAAATCTTACTCTACGGTCTGACCTCATTGGTCAGCTTTATCATGCACGGTCGAGTCTGTAAAAACACAACATGTAACATATACATATCACATTATATAATGAAACAAAATGGCATAAAGAAAGCCAAAGCAAACATAAATAGTGACAAGTTCTGTTTATAAACATCAATAAATCATTAATTTTCCTTTCTTTTTTTATTCAAGAACACCAGTGTATAGTTTAATTTAAGAAATGACCTTGATTGATATGAATTTAGCCTTGCTTATAAATAAAATTAAAGAAAATTCGTTTATCAACAAGTTTCAATGAAATCAAGGTGTCAATAGTAAAGTGTCTGTGCAGATTGCATGTGCGTATAAATTAAATAATTCTTGAGGGTTTTTTTTGCCGTAATTAAAAATTTATTATTATTGGTGATCATCTGATAATTTGGAAGCTTAAAACCTGAATCTGCATTCATGAAGGAAGCTCCTGTAGTATATTTAGGACAATTTAATCATCACATTTAATTTGTCCCTTTTAAGTCAATTTCATAATGACAATTTGTCCCATTTAGGACAACTTAATCATCACATTTTGTCCCATTTAGGACAATTAAATAATGACAATTTGTCCCATTTAGGACAAATTAATCATGACAATTTGTCCCATTTAGGACAATTTAATTATGACATTTTGTCCTAAACAACTGTGAGTGAGGCTTCACAATTTGAATATCTGCAGTCATTCTATGTTGTTTAGCAACTGTATGTCAAAGACTTCCAGACTTATACTGGATTGCAATGGTTTTCAGTCTCAGAATGACCTTGACCATGACCCCCAAAGGTTGTTATTCTTTGAACACTCAAAATAACAAACCTTGGTTATCCAATCTGAGCAGACAATACTTTTGACTTCTTGATTTTAGTATTTTACAATTTAAATATTTTAAAATAACAACTAGTTGTTGTAAATTGCAAGCATAGCGTGTGCACTCCAAAGATATTAAGGTAAAGGGGTTGTAACTAAATTAAGTTTACAGTGACTTTTAAAGCAACCAATAAAGGATAAACACTACAATATTAAGCTACAGTAACCTACCTTGTGACCTTTCACAATGAGCAAATTAGAACATCCCCACGTAATTAAAGGGAGGTTAATAAAAATTCATATGTATAAATCAAACATTAAAATGGAATGCTAAATACAGCTATCACAATAACTAATAAGTAGTATATATTATATATTTTATAATAGTCATATTCAATGTATATTTACAGTATAATAATTATCAGACAAGTAAATCAGAATTAATTTTTACATGAAATGTAGTTTTTCAATTGCCTGTGTTAACCAATGCAATAGCCTTGAATACTTCTTTAATTCTTTATACAAGAAAACAAGATAATTATAAATCCCACATTGAACAAGGATGGCTAAGCAAAGTACACATTAGTCTTATACAAATCAATTTTACTTTTAGACCGCAAATTGGTGTAAATTAGAAAAAGAAGTGTTATTTAGCATAAACAATGTTTTTAAAATAAAAATTACTAAAAGAACACCAGGCCATATTCCAAATTGGTGTCCCATGAATTAGGCCAAATTGTAAAACATCTTTTTTAATTAGGCCAGATTACATGAAGTTTGTATTTCTTCAATTAGGCTGTTGTCCTTTCTTTAATAATCATACATGCCATTTCTTGCATGTCAGACAGGATTATCTACCGTTTACACCGGTGCTAGAAAACCCTGTCCTACACCCCCCATGTAAGACAAGTCGCGTGCTTTAAATGACGTCGTTGCTGCGCGCCTTTTATGAATGAATTTCGTTCTTAGGATGACGTCACTTAACCGTTATGAATGAAGTTATAAGTTCATACGCTACTATAAGAAAAACAAGAGCTGTCCGTAAGACAGCGCGCTCGACTTTTTTATTGCTTGCCAATAAAAAAAGTTTTTGCAGTAAAAGGCAATACAAGAATCTCTGTATTTTTAAAGTGAACAATGGCCATGAGCATTAAGATATTTAGTGAAGAATTATTTTACTGAATTGTGTGATACCCTTGAACACTGCTTGCCTATAATACAAAACATTGACAGTTAAGGGCCATAATTCAAATAAAATCTTTGACAGAATTACCTTCTCCTGGACATGTTTGGGAATCATGATTGTAAACAAGTATTCCAACTTTCAAATTAATATCTCAAACAGTTCAGTCAAAAAGTGGACTGGTACTAAAAACTTAACCAAGATTCTAAGTCGATAAAAGGCCTTAATTTTTAAAACAAATCCTTGACAGAGTTACCTTCTCTTGCGTACAGATGGGGGTAATGATGTGAAATAGCATTAAAAGTTTCAAAAGCAATATCTCAAAGGGTTAAGGCAATAAGTGGATTTTTACCCATATTCAATGTATTTTCTAAGTCAAAAAGGGGCATAATTCTGTCAAAAACCTTGACAGAGTTATGTCCTCTTGTCTGTTGATGAAGGTCGTGATGGTAAACAAGTATGGTCAGTTTCAAAGCAATACCTCCAATGGTTTTGAAATAAAGTGAGGTGGTACAAAAAACTTAACCAAGCTCAATACACTTTCTAAGTCAAAAAAGGGGCATAATTCTGTCAAAAACCTTGACAGAGTTATGTACTCTTGTCTGTAGATGGAGGTTATGATGGTGAACAAGTATGGTAAGTTTCAAAGCCATACTTGTAATACTTCTGAAATAAAGTGGGGTGGTACGAAAAACTTAACCAAGGTGTGACGCCGACGCCGGGGCGAGTAGGATAGCTCCCCTTTTCATAGAAAAGTCGAGCTAAAAAGTGCATAATGAAAATATCAAGTTTTGTTATTTCTGTTCTGAAAATAATTGGTATGTAATATGCAAGAAAAAGAATCAAACACCGGCTGTCGGTACAGACGGGAATATCTAGCTCTGGGGTTACTGTTTAAGTGGAAACTCGGCAGAGCCTCGTTACCGCCGTAAACAGTTACCCTCGAGCTAGATATTCCGGTCTGTACCGGCAGCCAGTGTAAGATTCTTACAATCCCCCGCTGGGGGACAAAAACCCCGATTTTCGACCATGTCTCCCGATCTCCCGCCGTGGAATCGAAATCCCCTGATTTTCAAAAATTCAACCAACAAAAATTTGGCAATCAAGAAATATATCAACTATGAACTAACGGACATTGTTTCACTAATCTAAATGCATTTGAGTCTACAATGTATTTTACTCTCTTGAAATATTTCTTTCATTTTTTTTTCTTTCTATGTTCAGATACATGTTTGTGCAAAAACCAGTTATAATTTAAAATCCTAGCTGAGTTTTGAACTACAAATTCATATAATAAACAATATTGATTATCCACTGTTCTAAAATTATGAGATCAAATTGTAGAGAATGTGGACATCAATCAATGTCAATAATAAATACATTAATGTAAGGATAGTCTCTTGATATTTTTGCTATGAATATGTCCTTTTTCAAGACACATAAATGTACATGAAATATAGGGCTTGGGTTAATTTTATGCTTCTTTCTTTCTTAACCTTTTCCCTTATATAAGCGTGTTTCGACGGCTTTTTGCCCCCCCCCTTTTTGAGGCCTCAAACAGTGAAAAAATGCCCTATTTAGGCCCCAAACACTGTCTTTTGTTTGAGAAATGTTGTTAAAAAAAGTGACCATTTTTTCGGCGCCGTCCCCCATCCAAATATTACATCAGGGGGTTGCCAGAAGGGGGATGTGCCCCCTTCTGTTTGGGGGGTTTGAAGGGGGGCGGAGTCCCCCTCATCGCCAAGAAAATTTTGGACTTGTGAGAGGCTTAAAATGACCCCAGGTCGATCATAAGGTAACGTGTAATCAACGCTGAAAAGCCTTTGACTCTATCTCAATCCCTTGAGAAGTTGCAGCACTTTGAAATAAATTTTGATGGAAAAAATCGAGGCAAAAAACTGATTTTTGGCAATTTTGAGATGTCCCCTCGTTGCCATGGTAACAGGAAATTTAAGACTGAGCATGTCGTTACAAAGGCAATGGTCCAGTTAACATTTGTGCCAAGTTTGATTAGTATTGAAGCATTTGTCATAGTTTTATAGCAGTTTGAACTTGTAACAGGAGGCTTTTCAGTGAAAATGGCCATTTTTCACAATATGCTCATGGGGGAAAGGGTTAAGGACTGATTTCTGAACAATACAATATTATTTGTATAGATTTTGATCGTGTTAAAACTTTGCAAAGTAATCATCTGATATAGATTTTCTTGAAATGTTTCATGTACATGCAACCATCCCAAAGGGAGAGAATTCTGCAAATCTTATTTTACAGTTACAATACAGAGTTGTCTTACATACCTAAAGATTTCTTATAATTGAATGATAATAAATCTTCCTGTATAAGTGATATTCTTATACATGTATTTAATTGGTAACATAAATGAGACATTTTTTATATCTAATATCAATCTATTGAGCACTTAAAAATCCACAATATCAAATTTGTGCCACTGTGTGTAGAACACAGGCCTGCCTGCACATTCATAAAGTCTGATCCAGCACTTTACAGTAGGCTGTTTTAATTTAATATTTAAGTAGTAAATAACACATGTGGGACTAGCCAAAAAGTTCGGAATTTAGAAGTTTCTGGAATTCAGAAGTTAGGAATTATCTGAAAAAAGTACAATTATTATACAACAACTGTTTTATAGTAAGAAATGATGAAAAATATATAAAGCTGATTTAATTGATATTAAACAGAAGGAGAAATTTCGGGACCCTGAAAAATGTTCGGATTTGAGAAGTTTCCGGATTTTAGAAGTCCGGAATTCAGAAGTTACACTGTAAAGTGAAATGAACAAATAAAGTAATATAAGCTTCTATAAGTTAAGGCACTTCTCATCCACATCAAATATGTCGAAATATACAAAAATATATAGCCTTAATTCCTTTGTAATAGAAAAAAATGTACTGATCAAAATTGTACACTTTATTCAGTCAAAGACTTCACATCAGATGTAAAATGTTGTAAAATAATTATGAATCTTTATGTCTATTTTTGATAAGTGATTGATCTTTTGTTATTTGAATTATATTTCATATTAAAACATGGTTAAATATCTGGAGGTGTGCAGCTTTAATACATCTTTTATTATATAACATTTTTACGAGTTAATGGTGGCTATATCAACATCTCAACAAAAATATTAATTATTACATAGTCAATATGGCATAATTATTTTACAGATTAAGTATTAAGTCTGGTGGATGTATGAATGTATAGATGAGGTTAGAGACAGATCAGATCAGTTTAAGGAGTGCATATTGCACGGACTTACTTCGAAGCCGTGCATGTCTCTCCTCAGCAGCTTTCTTCCATTCAGGTTCAACAGACTTCACCTCTGAAATAACAGAAATAATGTCACAAATATTATAACAGAAGTTATTACAAACATACATGCATCTGTACAGCGAGTATAAAGTACTTTACTTTAATTTTTGCAGTACCTGTATGTGCCAACATATGGAGTGCCGTTACCAGTATTTGCAAACTTATTGAGTGGCACTTGCCAACTTATGGAATGCCTGAGTACCAGGACTTGCCAACTTATGCAGTGCCAGGACCATTACTTGCCAACTTATAGAGTGCCAGTACGAGATTTTGGTTCAGAACTTATAAACATGTTTAATTTCATACCATGTTCAACAGCTTAAAGTAAACATTTTTTTTTTTTTTTTTTTTTTTTTTTTTAAAACAAATTCTTGCAACTTATATTTATCTCTAAAGTCAGTTTCTTGGAACTAGACCAGTACTCAGGTGCCACAATGATCCATGAATTAAACCATTAAACCAATGATCCATGAATTAAACCATTAAACCAATGATCCATGAATTAAACCATTAAACCAATGATCCATGAATTAAAAGGCAGTCACTTTTCACTTTAACACCAGATTTTATTACGTCATACTACTGTCGGTCTCAAATGAGATGCGCGCCGGACCATGTCGTATAAATCAGTGCGCCTATCGTACAAGTAGAGTAAAGACGTTGTTTTTACTCTCTCCGATAAACGAGGTTTATCGACCATTGTCGTAAATTAGTTTTACATTTTTATTTTGTATTTTGTCATTACGTTGTAGTGACTTGAAAGTAAAACTATTTCTTTTTAGTTATTTTACGCTGTAAATAACGTTTTTTGGGTTTTGACTATTTTTGTATTTTTTACCACGTGTTGTGTTTGTGGTAGTGCAAACGCTTTACGGTAGTAATGGCCGAAGTTGAAGTGCGTGAGGCCAACAAGGCTAAAGCAAAGCAGAAATTATCCGATATGAGCGTTTCTGATGGTCACCAGACAAAACCAGTGGATGTGACTTCAGTCAAAAAGCCCTCGAAAGTCCCATCTACAAAGAAAACTTCGACGACGCAGTCGTCAGCCGGTGAGTTAGCTTCGAACTCGTCGAGTTCCGTGTCTGAACAAAATGTGCAGAGTGAAAAATTTCACCAAGAACTGATGGGTATTTTGAACTCTATTAATAAAAATCAGAAAGCCCAAGATACCCGTTTGAAGTCTTTAGAGTCCCAAATGTTATCATTTTGTGAGGAAACTCCAGTTAATTATTATAATGATCATGAAGAGGAAGACCATTTCGGCGATGCTGATTTGGGAGTTACTGATCCAATATGTAGTAATATAGATGAACATCCTTCTGATCAGTCAGTGCAGATTAACAAACAGGGGTCATCCGGGGCTTTTAAAGGTGTTTGTTCCAAGTATGATTTGTTGGAAACCGTCGATGACGAGGTTGACACCGATTTAGCAAATTTGGTTAATAATGTGTTTCGTGAGGGTATTTCTGATGATAAGTTTGCCTTGCTCATGAAAGAGACATCTCGTCCAGAAAATTGTACAGCATTAACGAAAACAAGAGTAAATAGTCTTGTTTGGAACTTATTATCTCCCCATATGCAGACTATTGATGCTAAGATGCAGTCTATACAAGAATCTATCGTTAAAGCTGCTGCCATTGTTACCAAGGTTCTGAATTTGGCTTCAGACAGACTATCTGGATATGAAATTGAATCTGGGACAGATGCTTTAGGTTTATTAGGTCAGGCAAATAAATTAATTAACATAAGAAGAAAAGAGACTCACAAAACTGATCTGAACAAAGAGTATCATTATTTATGTTCTGCCTCTCAGAAATATACAGATTTATTATATGGTGATGATGTGAGCAAGCATGTTAAGGAAATTCAAGACATCAATCGCATGGGTTCAAGAATGAGGGGTAGATATCCTAATGCTCGTGCCAGAGGTCGTTTTCCTTTGAGAGGTGTTTACCGTGGCAGAGTAATGAAGAGGGGCCGTGGTCGTGGAAATGGTGGTGCATTTAGATTTCCAAAAAACTACCAAGAAGACCGCAGCAAGAAATAAATAATGATAAGGTGAGTCAGTTTGAAGCAGGTAGATTGAGATATTTTGTGAAAAATTGGAGAGATATTACCCAAGATCAAAATATTTTAGATATTGTTGAGCATTGCCATCTAGAATATGAGTCAAATTTTGATCCTGATGATTTTTGTTTAAAAAACACAATTAGTAATTCTTTTTCGCTTAAAGAACAAGAAGTTATCGATAATGAAATTGATAAGTTGTTAAAACTGAAAGTTTTAATCGAAGTGAATCATGAAGATGGTGAAATTATCTCTCCAATTTTTACAGTGCCAAAGAAAGATGGCGAAGCCAGAATGATTTTAAATTTAAAAGAATTAAATAAGCAAATTACTTATTATCATTTCAAAATGGACACTTTTGAGTCTGCCATTAAATTAATTAATAAAGGAGATTTTATGGCTTCTGTTGACCTTAAATTGGCATATTATACTGTTCATATTGCACCAGATCATCAAAGGTATCTCAGATTTCTATGGAGAAACAAACTTTACCAATACACTGCTCTTCCAAATGGTATTTCATCAGCCCCTCATTTATTTACTAAACTGATGAAGCCTGTTTACTCAACATTAAGACAGAAAGGTCATGTTAATACAGGTTATATTGATGATTCTTTACTTCTAGGCAGCACTTTTTCACTTTGTCAACACAATATTGACGATACAGTGAGTTTAATGTCCTATCTTGGATTTATTATTCATGATAAGAAATCAGTGCTGGTCCCTACACAAAAGATACGGTTTTTAGGATTTGATATTGACTCTGAAAATATGTTAGTTACTTTACCAGCAGAAAAAGTTGCTGAAATAGTTTCTGAGTGCTTATATATCTGGTCACGAGAAAGTGTTCCTATAAGGAAAGTGGCCAGAGTATTAGGTTTATTAGTTGCAAGTTTTTCTGCAGTTGAGTATGGGCCGTTGCATTATCGGCACATTGAATGGCAGAAAATTGAGCAGTTGAAGATAAATTTTGGTAATTTTGATGCTTTTATGCAGATATCTCTGTCTATGAAATCTGAGTTACTTTGGTGGATTTGTAATTTGCATTCACAAAAGAGACATATTACTCATGATAGTCCTTCTGTTTTTATAACCACCGATGCTTCGTCTCATGGATATGGGGCGGTGAAAGAAAATTTGTCAATTGGTGGTAGATGGACAGAAAAAGAAGCTGATAACCACATAAATTATTTAGAAACTTTGGCTATTTATTATGCATTGAAAGCATTTTGTAAAGACATGAGAAATGCTCACATCAGAATTCAAACTGACAATACTTGTGCAATGTCTTACATAAATGCAATGGGTGGAATTAAGTCTATGTTATGTAATGATCTTGCAAAGCAAATTTGGTTGTGGTGTATAGATAGAAGTATTTGGTTGTCAGCCTCTTATATTTCAGGAAGAACTAATGTAGCTGATATTTGTTCTCGTAAATTTAATGAAAATGTAGAGTGGATGCTAGATAGAACAATTTTTCTGAAATTGATTGATCGATGGGGTACTCCTACTATTAATTTATTTGCGTCGAGGCTTAACAAACAAATAGATAAATTTGTATCTTGGTACCCAGATCCAGAGGCCAAATATGTCAATGCTTTTTCTTTAAATTGGTCATCTGAATATTCATATATTTATCCACCTTTCAGTTTGATCACGAGATGTCTACAGAAAATTCGCCTAGACAAGGCAACATGTTTGATTGTTTGTCCTCGATGGACCACTCAGAATTGGTGGACTCCTTTAATGAATCTTTTGATAGACTTTCCAGTTATTCTTCCACGCAAGAAAAAATTACTAATTCTCCCAGGAACAGACAAGACTCATGTTTTAAGCGACAAAATAGTGCTAATAGCATGCAAGTTATCAGGAGTTCTCTCTCTTCAAGAAAACTTCCATCAAAAACTGTTGACATTATCTTATCCTCATGGAGACATAGAACACAAAAACAGTATAACTCAACAGTCAAAAAGTGGTTTCAGTTCTGTAATGAGAGGAAAATTAGTACCATTTGTTCTTCTGTAAATTATGTTTTAGAGTTTTTAACTCAACTTTTTGAATCTGGCATTGGTTAAAGTGGAATTAATACTGCCCGTAGCTCACTTTCAGCGATTGGCATTCTTGTGGATGGATTTGCAGCAGGATCTCATCCGTTGGTCATAAGATTCATGAAAGGTGTTTACAATTTGAGGCCATCTGTACCTCGTTATAAAGAAACATGGGATGTTTCAGTGGTTTTAAAATATTTAAGGTCTTTATCGCCAGTGAAAAGTTTATCACTGAAGTTATTAACTTTGAAATTAGTAATGCTTATTGCATTAACACTTGCTTGTAGGACTCAGGCAATTCATCTTCTTGATATAAGAAATATGAAGAAGCAGAAGGATTCTGTTATTTTATTGTACAGTGATGTTTTAAAACATTCTCAACCAGGTTCTGATAATGCACAGGCAGTGTTAAGGTCATATCCGCCTGACAGGCGTCTTTGTGTAACTTTTGCCTTGAAGGAATACTTAAATCGCACACAGTCTATTCGTGGAAACATAACAGCTCTTTTTATTAGTTATATTAAACCATATCATAATGTGTCAAGGGATACAGTCAGTAGATGGCTTAAGACAGTCTTATGTGCTTCAGGAATTGACACTAATATTTTTAAGCCACATAGTATTCGAGGGGCAGTAACATCTAGAGCAAAAGCAAGGAATGTCCCTATAGAACATATTTTGTCAATTGCTGGATGGTCTAATACAAAGACTTTCGGTCAATTTTATGATAAATCTATACACATCAATGAAGACAAGGGTAGTTTCGCAAGGGCAGTACTTCAAGAATAAATTTAGATGAAACAGTATACAGAATTTTAATTACAGTTATCAGGTATTTTGATTTATTTTAATATTATGGTATAAGTATTATGCCTACTTCGTATTGCTTAATGCCCTTAACAGCTTTGAAGTCTCATTTGAGACCGACAGTAGTATGACGTAATAAAATCCCCAAACTAAACGAGACTTACCTTGGTAAAGTTGAAGTTTGGTTGAGATTTTATTCAGTCATACTGCTACTGGAGGGAATCAAATCCCACCCATTCATATGGATTCCCTTCCCTTTTTTGATCTGTTGTGAATAGGTCGATATGTTAATGAGTATTTTAATTTTTTGTTAAGTGCATTAATTTTTTTCGCTTTAAAGACTGATTTATACGACATGGTCCGGCGCGTATCTCATTTGATTCCCTCCAGTAGCAGTATGACTGAATAAAATCTCAACCAAACTTCAACTTTACCACGGTAAGTCTCGTTTAGTTTGGGGATTATAAGTTATCTAACTGGCTATTATGATAAGTTTTTATTATGTATTACCTATTTAACTATGCTAAATTTGTATTAAGAATATGCTGTGAATAAAGAAAAACCAATTATAATCTGACATAAGGAAATTTCTAAAAATACACCCTTCGACATTATTTGAAATTTAAATCTTTGCTAAGCAACAGAAAGGAAGTTTCATTTTAATTTTACAAACCATCAACCTGTACACTTATAAATATACAATGACAAACATGTTTTGATTAAACTGTAAACTTGAATGCACACACACCCAAAAAATGTACTATCTACATTAGCACACATTGATTAATACAATCTAAGACCTAGGACTTTAACCATGTCTATACATACAAAACATTCTGATTTCAATTTTAAAGTTAAAACATTATCACACACATGTCAAGTGGCTACCCTATAGATCACCCCAATGTTTTTTTCAGAAAAACATATGTGAAAAATTATTAAGTCAAATGAATATTATAGCAAAATAAACATTTTAAAATCAAAATCAGTATTATATCATCTTGTTTATCATTCTGTGACTCAGTGAATTATAAAGATAACACAGGTATTGTATAATAGTTAAATGCCAAGTCAGTGCAATAAATTGCTGTAACATTTTAGCAACAAAATTAGTGAATGGAACAATATAATTTAATAGTCAATTAAAGTGAAAGAAATGAATTTCGTCATATAGCTGCTAAGACATTATGTATAAACCTGTAATTACAAATATTGCCAGAAAGGTGTTTACTTTCCAAGTTCATTCCTGAGAAAGACAACCTGGCTACCATATTGTAAGTGACTGACGTGAACTAACTGGGCCTTAAGTCAGCGAATATTTCAGTATCAATTAACATTTACATACATAACTAAATTTCATGAAAGTTAACATGTTATAAAATGGTTTGTTAGCATCTTTCCTACAAAAACTTTTTCTTTGAAAAAAGAAAAAGAAAAAAAAAAAAACAATCATAAAATATCATTAACATAAGTAACACAACCACAGATAAACATTGCCTTTTTCCAAATCTATACAAGTTAACATGTAACGTCAACAGAAATACTGGATCTAACCTAAACAAGTATAACAAATAACAGGGTACATGACTATTCCAATAGTCACACTGCAACTGATCTAAACAAATTATTGCCAAATAACAGTAAAACAATAACACTTGAACAAATCTTACATCTCAACCTTTAGTTTACCAAATGTCTGTTTCTGAAGAATTAAAAATGTTATATGATACAAAGCAGTGAAATTGGATATCTGAATATGTCAACATCTTTTCTAAGACTTTCATTCTTGAACTAACCCTTAGTCTTCTGGCAGCAACTGAAATCTACTGGTAACCATGTGGCCAGTGCCGAACATGATCAGCCGACACATCTGTGCCAACCAATCACAGTCTGAACTGTTTGCTTTTTGGTCAATACAGTCATGTACATGTTTTGAAATTTTCCCTAAAAATGACTGTTTACCATATTTCCATATAAGAACATTAGGGGAATTAAGATTTAACCTTTACCAAGCTAAACTTATGATATAGACTTTGTCATGATTTGAGTAAGCTGATTTGCCAGGCTATTTATACAGGTACTTGTGAATCACATGTTTGATCCAAGCTCCATAAGGCTTTCAGGATGTGCTTTCAATACTCAACATCAGTCTGGTATACTTGTTTTTTTATTATTTTAGTTCCTACAAATTTATTTTAATTTGATTGTGTTGGAAGCTTTAAGGTTATTGAAATACTCTCAAATCCATTCCTGGAACCAACCAGTACTAAGCAATGAATGTAAAGTTTCTTGCTCAAGGAAACAATGGCTTGCCCCTGACAGGGTTTGAACCATCACGGTCAGCAATCCTTAGATTTGTTAAGCGCTTGGCCACTCCTTTTTTCAATTTTGTCATATACATGTATACTGTATATCGACTGGAAAGGAAAAATAACATATACATTTAGTCGCTTTCATGACTACTGGATTCAAAATTAATAGATCACCTGAGGTCACCATTTGACACTTTTATACTATTTTGGCCTGGCGCCAAGTCCAGGATTCGTACTCTCAGTGCCTGAAAGGGTGGATGAACCCTAAATAAACTTAGAACACACGCACGCCATGCATTAACTTACAATACTGGTGGGATATACATGTAAATATAATCTTTAATAGTTGATGGCATTCAACTGGTGAACACAATTTAACAAGGTTTATAAAAGTTATAGTACGGTTTTGGTGAAATGGTACAATGTGCTATTATATTGAACATGGCAGGAAAATTCAACATGGAACGCAATGTGAATGTGACAACTAGGAAACTTGTATTGACAAAGGGGGATTATTGATGGGATTATAACATTATCATTATATCTTGACATGTTAACATGTGTGTATAAATTACATAATGTATTGGTCCTACCTTCAGATGATTCTTTAAAACAGAAATAATTCAAAATATGATCATATTTTATAAGAAAAACATCAAACTTTTTTGGCTTTATTACTGACAGAACAGTAACAAAAAAAATAAAAACTTGTCCAAACTTAAAAAAATGTAAAATTAAATCATGCTTTATCAGTATGTATCTAATGAACTGTATTTGTTTTTGTAATATCACTGTGACATGTAAATTTAATTTCATTATTTCCTTATTTTAGATTAAGGCTATGAGTAAAGAATAGAGCTTAGAAAATAAGTTGGGTTTGACTGTTATATTATTCGGGCAGTCAATACCACCTTATCAAACTGCCTGGAAATAAGCTGTTTATTTGCCTACATGTACTTCTCTGCACATAACTCATTTGAAACAGAAGGGGATAAATAACACCAGTTATTTTAAAATCAACGGTATCTAAGTAGAAAAACATCACAACAGTTCATCGCACAGGGCTAAGAAACAGTTACATCAAGAATAGCTCTTATTATTTTGTTTGTTTTGATTGGGTTTTACATCACCCAGACACAGTAAAGGTCATATGGCGACATTCAAGCTTTACTAGTGGAGGAAGATCTCAGGTGCCCTTCCGTGCATTTTTTCAGGCACTAAAGGGCACATGAGTAGAACTGCTGACCTTCCTTAAGCTAGCTGGATAGCTTCATCACATGAAAGAATCTGTCGGGATTCAAAAAGAATAGCTCTATAATTTATGATCCTATAATCATGAAAAATTTTCATTAATCAAAAATTTATTTTTGTAATTAATTTTACCTTTAGGCTGAGGTGTGTTTCTTGTTTTACGGAGTTGTATCCCTTTTTTCCATTCCGGTTCTGCAGATGTTTCTGTCTTTGGTATTTCCTTGAAAATATTTTGAATAAAAAATTTAACACAAAAAGAACAAGACAAAATCACAATTACACAATGTTAACAAATTTCTAGAATTTAGATTTTTTTTATTAAGAGTTTTGCATAAATAAGCAAACTGTAATGTATTGATGGCTCTGTCTTGTAAATCAATTAATTAATTATAATAATGATCAATTGATAAGCAATTACTTCAGGTGTTTTTTCCTTTCTGCTCTGGCGCCGCTGAGCCAGTTCCCTTTTCCATGCAGGTACCTCACCGGAGCCGCTGAGGGAAGGCAAGGATTTGGCTGGTCCTAGGACACCTGGTGTAGGCACAGATGGGGATCGCGTTTGTCTCATCCAGCTGGGAGTGTAGTTGTTATGGCTTTCTTTCACTATATAAAATATAAAGTAACAAACATTCTTTCCAGCATTTGAAATGACCAATAATTTTACATCTTTATATATCTTGATGAAGAAGCAGATGGGTTCCTAACCAGTAGATCTTAATTAAAATATTGTTCATATTAATCCAGGTGTTGACATGTGGTTTCTTTGCATTCTTCTTTTTCTACCAATTTTAAGAAAATTAACATAAGACAAGCATATTAAATAACCAATGATTTTAATATCTTGTTAAAATAAAAGTATGCAAATTTTACCTGTGGATGCAGGAGTTGACCTCTTTTCATGCTCACTCTCTGAACTCATTGAAGAGTTTCTGGACCGTGGTGTGGACACCTGTTTACTTGAGTCATCATTATGGCTTAAATCTGAATGGCTACTAGTAGTTGACTGGCCATTACTGGAGTCTTGTAATGGCTGACCGCGTGTTTTTCTAAGAACCGGCTTCTCAAGCCATGAGGGCGTTTCTTTGTCTATACTGTTATGACTATTTTCTGTGATATAAATAAAATAAGATACAAATGAGTTTTAGTTTCATTGGTATGCTGCCTTATAAGTACAAAATTAGAAAATGTTTGTATGACATGGATGCAGACACATATAAAGGGACAGCCTAATAAAACATGAGTGTAAAGTTGTGTAAATAAGCAAAGCTTAATAATTTTTTTTAATTATGATGTAATGTTACCATTATTTTCTAGGCTTCATCAGTTACTACAGTTAAAACTCGTTTGCTCGAACTCGGATTGCTCGAATACCTTTATTTTATAACAAGCATTTATTTTAGTAAATGACTACAAAACAGATGTTGCTGAAAATTTTTTTTTTTTTTTTATATCTTATCAATTCATTGTTTAAAATAAAATTCATCCCATAATAAACATATAAATATATTTTGAACATTGTTCACAGTTTGGAAAATGATCGCCCAATCGAACTCAACCAATTACAATATGCATGAATATAGATTAACACTGTGTATGTTAATATGTTTTCAATAGGCTAATTATTCTTATATGACGTATTAACAAAGAGATGTACTAACAAACAATTATATCTAAGTATTTATCATTTGAGCGATGTTAGCTGGAAAACCTTTAAGTTTATGTTCTAATTGTAATAATAGTTCAACCTCGGTTGGCTCGAACTACCAATCCCTCGAACAAATTTGCACAGGCCCTCTGGGTTTGAGCAAACGAAGATCGACTGTATATCAAACTATATCTTGAAATTTACTATGTTATGTAAACAAAAGCTTATCATAAAAACACATACTTCAATACTGAACATAATTTAGAGAATAAAAAGTAAACTCTTTCTTTTTTTTTAGCAACACTGAGAAACATGGTATGTACGTGAAAAGTAACTACCAATATGTGGATGTTATAATAAAACTTTCACTGTACTATTACATGTTTAAGATTGAATTATGATTTAACCATTGCTGGTCAACAGAAGTGGATGGAAGCTTGCATTAATACCGCTAATGTGCATGAACAAACTAATACAAACCAAGTCTTAAAACATTATACCAATTTTGCCATTTTGAGCATTCATTAGGTATTGCTTTTTCTCTATTTTATGATTGCATTGAATTAACATTTGATGAATTGAGAAGTGTAGTACATGTACTGTGTTTTAAAGCTGATATTTCAACGAAAGTGTATCAAAAATTGAGTAAAATTGTATACTAAAAATTTATATAAAATATATGACCAGTTTTATGCTTATACAACAAATGCATGTTTTCATGAACATTTTAATTCAATATGTAAATGTAATGTGGTGCCAATCTTCAATTGCTTGTCCTATTCATATTATGTCCTGTTGCACTGTAAGCATTTCAGAAATAAATAAAGTACATTTGATATTCACCTTTAGTATGAACTGCACCTAGCACCTTGGAATGTTTATTAGCAGCTTGCTGGAGCCATTCTGGCTTCTCTGATAATTTAGGCGATTCTTTCCTTTCCCTTTCTGTTTTCCTTAATGCAGGTTTATCAAACATTCCTTTTGGTTCATTTAAATCCTTTACTTCCTTTTCAGGTGATGGGGTTGTTTTCTTTAAAGATGGCTTCTCAAACACACCAGTTGAGGAGGAATCTGTTTGTTTGTCCACTGAAGGTCTGCTTGTACTTCTAAGAGGTGGTTTATCGAATGTATGTACAGGTTCTGAATGATCAGTAACAGAATCTGCTCTAGGTAGTTTATTTGTAGTTCTTAACGCTGGTTTTTCAAATGTTTTAGTATGCGTCTCTTCCTTCACATTATCAATGTCATTTTCAATTTTTCTTCCAGTATTTCTTAAACTAGGTTTTTCGAATACATGTTTATCACTATCAGTTTCTTTTATATTGTTAGTTTCTTGTTTCTGCACACTCCTGAGGTTGGTTTGTTCAAAAATATCATTGTCTTTATCATCTGTAAACTTTTGTTCAAGTTTTGGTTTTGGTGTACTTCTCAACTGCGGCTTTTCAAACACTCCTTCAACAAATGAAATAAAATTTTCAATTTTCAAACATGTAATGAAAGCGATCATTAAACCTTAAATTTCCATCTTTGATACCTCCAAAAAATGATCATGGCCATGTTTCAATAAAGGGGAATCAACTTTATAAAAAATAATAATAAACAGACTAATTCATCACAAATGGCACTCTAAATAAGAAATGAAACGAAAAATGAATTCACGACATTTAAAAAAAACTATATATTTTCTAAATGTTTTTTTTTGAATTCCATTTAAATATACACATGCTGTCTATAGCCCAATGCCGGACCCGCTTGCCTTTGATTTCTCCATATTAAAAGTGATATGTGACATAAATGCAAAATAGATTATACCTATATCCATATTCTCTTCTGGAGATTTTTCTCTACGGGGCTTAGGTGTGCTGCGGAGAGCTGGCTTCTGAAACGTTATGTCCCTTTCTTGGCTGACATCTTTTGTCACCGTCTCTGGTTTGTTCGAGGATCTTAGTCCAGCTCTACTGAACGCAGGCTTTTTGTCTTGGTCTGGTGATGGACTTTTCTCGACTGGTTTCACTGATCTTAGTGCTGGCTTCTCGAACACAGCAGGTTTAGACTCTACGGTTGGCCGGTCTGAAACATCACTCGGAGATCTTTTTGGCTTGGCTGGACTTGGACTAAATGATGGAAGAACAAAAGCACCAGGGGGTGGCTTTGATGATCGCTTTACTTCCTTGGTATCCATGGCATTGTCATCATTATCAGCTTCCATTGATGACTTTCTTTGAGATGGAGGCTAGTGAAAATACATAAAATAACGTATAAAGTTGAGTTATACCTTCAATATTAAAAGATATACAATTAAATGTTTGGAGCTTTGAATTGTTATTATATGGTTCCTACGTGGATACATTATCAAATGTATACATAACATAATCTAAGTTCAACAATAAAAAAATTACATCAAACATACTGATATTACACAGGGAATACAGCAATTTTAAAATAATCTATAGTATATAGCCTCAACTAATAATTCCACATAGATTGAGCAAACTCCGAACTTTAAAGAGAATCTAAATATCCCTTCAATTCATTTTCAATATTAAATTTGTCAGAAAAATCTTGACATTAGTTTCCAACATAATGAAACGACAATTTAAAATGTTGATACATACTTGCAGTCACAATTAATGAATCTCTTTATGCTTGATTTGATGTTATTTTGTATATTAAGGTAGTCTTACTAAAATGCTTTCCCGCCAAAAAAATCTAACATCGGCCAATATCGCGGTTATTTCGGGAACAGTATTCTTAAACAAGAGGGCCATGATGGCCCTAGATCGCTCACCTGAATTATCAAACTCATCCAAACAATTACCTAGACAAGCATTCTGACCAAGTCTCATGACAGGTGAGTCAAAAATGTGACCACTACAGTGTTAACAAGGATTATCCATATTTGAGCAGTGCGACCTAGTTTTTTACCCAGGTGACACATATTCAAACTTGACCTAGAAATCATCAAAACAAACTTTCAGACCAATTTCCAGGATACTTGGATCAAAACAGTAGCAACTAGAGTGTTAACAAGATTTTTCTATTTTTAGCTCCGGTGACCTAGTTTCACATGCGATTTCGAACTCATCCAAGCAATTACCTAGACAAGCATTCTGACCAAGTTTGATGATAATGGAGTCGAAAATGTGACCACTAGAATGTTAACAAGGTTTTTCCATATTTGGGCGGTTGTGACCTAGTTTTTCATCCAAGATGACCCATGTTCGATCTTGACTTAGAAATCATCAAAACAAACTTTCAGACCAATTAACAGAATATTTGGATCACAACAGTAGCCACTAGAGTGTTAACAATATTTTTTCTATTTTTAGCTCCTGTGACCTAGTTTTTCATCCGAGATGTCCCATGTTCGATTTATTCCCAGCAATGACCTAGACAAGTTTCCTGACCAAGTTTGATGACAATTGAGTCAAAATTGTGACCACTAGAGTGTTAACAAGGTTTTTCTATTTTTAGCTCCTGTTACCTAGTTTTTCATCCGAGATGACCCATGTTCGAACTCATCCGAGTTATTACCTAGACAAGCATCTTGATCAAGTTTGATGATGATTGATGCAAAAATGTGACCGCTAAAGTATTAACAAGGTTTTTCTATTTTTAGCTCCGGTGACCTACTTTTTCATCCGAGATGACCCATGTTCGAACTCATCCAAGCTATCAACTAGATAAGCATCCTGACCAAGTTTGATGATGATTGATGCAAAAATGTGACCGCTAGAGTGTTAACAAGGTTTTTCTATTTATAGCTCCGGTGACCTAGTTTTTCATCCGAGATGACCCATATTCGAACTCATCCGAGCTATTATCTAAACAAGCATCCTGACAAAGTTTGATGATGATTGGGTCAAAAATGTGACCACTAGAGTGGTCACAAGGTTTTTCTATTTTTAGCTCCTGTGACCTAGTTTTTCATCAGAGATGACCCATGTTCGAACTCATCCAAGCAATTGACTAGACAACCATTCTGACCAAGTTTGATGATGATTGGTTCAAAAATGTGACCACTAGAGTGTTCACAAGGTTTTTCTATTTATAGCTCCTGTGACCTACTTTTTCATCCGAGATGACCCATGTTCGAACTCAGCCGAGCTATCACCTAGACAAACATCCTGACCAAGTTTGATGAAGATTGGGTCAAAAATGTGACCTCTAGAGTGTTCACAAGGTTTTTCTATTTTTAGCTCTTGTGACCTAGTTTTTCATCTGAGATGACCCATGTTCGAACTCATCCGAGCTTTCAACTAGATAAGCATCCTGACCAAGTTTGATGATGATTGAGGCAAAAATGCGACCGCTAGAGTGTTCACAAGCAAATGTGGACGGCCGGACGGACGACGGACATTCATCGATCCTAAAAGCTCACCCTGAGCAAGCTCAGGTGAGCTAAAAATCTTAAGTATTTGATCATTTACAATCACTCATCCTTAATCAAATTTTTACAAAATTCAGGTTATAAAAGATTAAAAATTATCAAATACCGAAGATTATGAAAAAAATAACATTTCAGAAATGACCGATTTATTACGATACTGGCTGATGTTCGAAATATTTTGGCATGAAAGCATTACAGTAGGACTACCTTAAAATAAAAACTTACCCTTCTAGCCATGCCAGGCAGAGGCAACATGACAGCAGGGCTCGGTTTTTTGGCAGGGGGAGATAAATCATACCCATCATCATCGTTGTCATCATCATCGTCGTCGTTACCATTGGTCATTGATACAGGCTTGGAATCTGAAATGTGTATTAAATTTATTAAAAAACTGCTTGTTTTGTTTTCATGCCAATTTCAACACATTTTTGGTCATATCACAGTGGCCAGGCCACCAAACTGATTTCCTATTATAACTATCTAGTAATTCCAACATATCTGGAGTGGCACCAACTTTTTTTTCTAAATTTTAGATTAAAATATTGTCAACAGTTACTCTATTGTGAATGGTAGTGCACTCTAAAGCTAAACGAATGTTAAAAGTTTGTTTGTACTGAAAGGCTAAGAGAGGGACAAACCAACATTTGCATAGTTCCAGATAACATCTGATCTATAACGTAACAATTATGACACAACTGTTATGTTCAATTATCATTTCTCACCTGTTGAATCCTGGAAGATGGCATCATCACCACTAGATAGTAGAGATTTACGAGACTTTCTCGATGGTTTCCTTCTTAGTGCCAGCGAGCCTTTCTTACCTAGAGCAGATTTATGCTTGTTCACATCAACGTCTAGATGGTTTGTGTCCTGTTATACAGTCAACAAGTTAGTATTCAAAGAGTTATTTATATGTGTTAAAGACACAAAAGATAAGACATATAATTATAAGCTTTCATAGTTTCCAGTCGTTTACATGCTATGTAAATGTTTATTAATAACATAATTATATTTGAACTATTATTTAACAATGTTTATTAATAAATTATGTTTAAACTATAAACCTATTTCAGGATCTACCTTTATGTATAGGCTAAAATTTGTTAGTATGTATTTACAAAATTAAATTAGTCAGACACGGCACAACAAGGCGACCAATTTAATTTTTTAAATAGGCACTAATAAACTTTAACCTGCTTAGTGTTTTAAATTTAAGTTATATAAACAGTCCATTTTCAAGACTGATTAACAGTTAGCCGATTTACTCAAGTAAAGTTTTTACGATTCATTTGAAATACTGTAATCCTATTGGACAAAAAATAATTTCAAACACTAAATGGAATTGTTTGGTAGATTGACAAAGGATACCAAAGTTATTATTAGAAATCTTATATAAAATATTGCTTAATTTAAATTTCTAATGAATTCAGATGCTGTTGTAATAATTAAGTTATTAATATATTGTAATTCTTATTCCATATCTCAACTATATTGTTCATTTGATTGTATATTCTTTATTTTTCTCAAGTTGCAATCATTTTGAATAATTAAATGTTGGAGATCAAAAACAAACTTTAATAAGGTACTTCTCTATTTGCAGAAAAAATGAAAACCCTGTGACAGCATCATACAGTAAATTAACATAAACTATCTTATTATTTGAACATTTATAAAACAATTTACTTCTATGGCTTCCAGGTCAACATCATCACCATCAGCATAATCTGCCACATATTCTTTCTTAGGTCTCATCACCACATCATTTTCATTGAACGAAGCATCATCCCGATCTATCCACTCCTATAACAAGACAAAAATACCTTTAAAACCTGCAGTTCTTGTGTAACAATATTGTTCTATTTTGAGTTTGTAATTGTCCATTGTTAAGTAAGTGCCATCTTGTGCCTGAAATAATGCACAAAGGCACATCCGAGGTCTTTTTCCACCAGTAAAACTAGAAGTCACTTTATGACCTAAACAAAGTCAGTGTGACACATTCAACATACAAAACAAACATGAGAGAACTCAATCAGTCAATGTCCTTTGTGAGATACAAAACCACAACAATATGTGTCAATTAAGTCAGCAATGTTATTTTTCAGCACTCGAACAACAGCTCAAAAAGAATAGATTTCTACTTTAGCAGATACTATACATGAATAGTACATGCAAAGTTTAATTATTCAAATGTATTAATTTGTGACATCTGTGTATACTATTTTCTCTTAGCATTGCATGGTATGCCAACAACAATGTTGAGAACTTACCTCTTTATCATCTGGTGTAATGACCTTGACATCTGGTGTAGTGACCTTGACCTCTGGTGACCCAGTACTTCTGTCCATCGGTGTGCTACTTAGCAGATCTAGGTCTAATGGCTTATTTGGTGTGCTGAATTTGTTTGAAGTCTGCTGCTGGTTAGAATCTCTATGGCTTTTATCTGGGGTCTCTAAAAGTGACTGAAAAATACATCAACAATATTGCATGTTAAATAAACACATAAATACATTGTAATATAATCATTAAGAACTATTTTTTGGTTAGGTTTAAGGCACACTGCTGGAGGAATATTTCAGATGCTCTCCCGAGCATTATCTCAGGCTTACAACCCGAGTAGAATCACCAATGTTATGTAAATTAACTTGACAGCTCCCAGTCACATGAAAGTATTCAAAGGCTCTGATGGAATTCAAACCCACAGCAGTGAGGGGCACTTAGTTTGTAGTCAACAACTTTAACCACTCTGCCACAGAATGCACTTACACAAAAAGATCAAAATCATGTGAACAAAATAAAACATGGCTAGTTGTGTAAAACCATCACTTATTGAATTACTCCGCACAGGATCCCCCTTAAAACAGTGAAGATTTAAATATTTCATTTGCATGTTTAAAGTGTATAAAGCTGTATAATCTGCTGCAAAAAGTTATTGTTTAAATTTCTAAAAAGAATACTTTCAAAATGCTTGTATGAAAAAAAAAAAAAAAAAAAAGCATTTTGTTAGAATATTGCCTTAAAAGTAAGTGGCATTAAATTAAAGCATGAAATCATTTCTCCTACTAAAATTTACAACACAATATTTTATTCCAGATTTTTTTTTTATTTTGTTTGTTAAATAAGAGAGGCTTTTCATGTCACAACTTTTCTAAGAATTGACAATTTTGGAAGCAATATATCATTTCTGATGATAAATTTTGTAAAACTATTTCAAAGGACATAGCTTTATGGTAAATAGCTTAATACCCTTTAATACTAGCTTGAAATTCATTCAAAATACATTTCAATAGTTCAACATTTTAAAAAATTACTTTGAATTAATTAAAAGGCTGGATAAAAAATCTTTAAAAAGTGCTAAATCATCAAAAATGCAATAACAAAAACAAGCATAATTATTTTATCTATAGATAATTGCATGCAATTGTATCATTCTATAAAATACAAATTCAAGCAAATTTTATAATGCAAGATGCAGACCATTGTAAAAACAGTATAATCAATTAATAAATCATGGCAAATTATTATCTTAAAATTCTTAACTATAATGATATAATTTCTTATTTTTATCCTCTAAAATGCACGATTGCAAAAAAAAATAAATAAAAAAATAGTATTAGAATACCATTCTGCTACAAGAATATCTATACACTGTAATATACATGTCACACCCAAAAACATTGAATAAAATATTAAGAAATATGAAATACCATAAATTGTACTAAAAGTAAAGGTTTAAAAATGAAAGATAGAAACATAATGGTATCTCTGCTTATAATGTTTCATTTACAAACAAATATTTTGAAAAATAAGTTTTTAAAGTATTTTTATAAGGTGCACAAGTATTTGAAAAACAGAATTAATCACTAGCTGTTTATAGTTCCTATAAAACTAATGGCACAAATTTCTGACAAGTTATAAACTTAATGAAATAATATTTGAGCCGTGTCACGACAAAAACAACATAATTGGTTTGCGACCAGCATGGATCCAGATCCATCCGCGCAGTCTGATCAGGAACCATGCTGTTCGCTTACAAACTCTGTAACAAGTAAGGAAACTTATAGGGAACAGCATGGAACCTGATCAGACTGCACGGATGCGCAAGCTGGTCTGGATCCATGCTGGTCGCAAACCCATTATGTTGGTTTTATCGTGATGCGGCTCATTTATTTTCGCATTTGTTCCTGTTACATAGAAAAATAGACAGAGAGCATTCACTTATTAATACTGTCTAACTTTCTAAAAGTTATTTTTTAAGCAGAAGAAACTAAGGTGACTTAAAGGTAAACACTTGAAACCTCTAACTTGAAGAGCCATATATAATTTTTTTAAAAAACTGGACCATAATTAGAGTTTTGCAGCTTTCAGTGGCGGAAGAAAACACCTTAGATATCTGGGTTTCATGCCTAATATTTCAAGCACAAGACATTTAGGCTTCCAAATATGGCAAGTACGTGCAATATTTCTTAGTAGAATCACAAACATTCAATGAAAGGTATATAAAACAACTTCCACACATGTAGGAGATCAACTTGATGTCACAGTGCTGATCTGGACATTTCAAACTCCCTGTAGAGCTAAAATGGCAAGCTTTAATTTCACATTAATAAATTTTTTTAAACAATCTAGATTAGATGAAAGTATTTGACACTTATCACATAAATGTTAGTGAAATAAAAAAACCAGCAAAGTTATTAAATATATATATACACAAAGCAAAACAACATCTAGTTGGGCCAAAGTCTAGTTATACTGGTTACCTTTGGTTGAAATCGAGATCGCCTCTAAGTAAATAAGAAATTAATAACTAAAATAATAACTATCACATAATATTCACAATCTATTAAATCATATCACATGATAATTTGAGCCGTGCCATGACAAAACCAACATAGTGCAGTCTGATCAGGATCCATGCTGTTCTCTTACAAACCCTATAATACAAGTAGAGATACTGATAGCTAACAGCTTGGATCCTGATCAGACTGCGCGGATGCTGGTCGCAAATGCACTATGTTGGCTTTGTCATGGCGCGGTTCATTCAGATTTTATACAAACTTTACCTGGTCTACATTTTCTTACTATCTAGTTTTAAAGGCCCACTTTACCTCAGAAATAATAATTATAATTTTCATTATACTCATTGTTACTCATTGACCAATTACCTGAACCATGATTATTTTGCTTCTGTTGCTTTTTAGCAAATTAAGTACAAGTTATAGTGACTTAGTATTTTGCAATTGGAAGTCAAAATACTACTTTGTTTACATTTTGCTACTTTTAAGATAAATTTTTCTTCCAGTGATAAGCATCTTAAACATTAGAATATAAAATCATTATTTAAACAATATAAAACTAAGTTTGCCCTATATGAAGAAAATTTTATTAAATTTCTAAGGCATAATGTGCCTTTAAGCTGACATTGTTAATAATTTGTCACCTCAGTGCAGTAACAGGTTAAGTCCATCTAAATTTAATAGGAGTTAATCAGATATTGCACAAAGGTGACAAATTGTAACTTACAAATTTCAAAGCATTAATCTTGTCACTACAGTTATAATTTTGAATTTCTGTTACAATGGTTTATGGTACCTTAGTAGAAATTAAATCAAAATACATTGTCACAATGTGCTAATTAACAGACTTTTTTTGCGAGTCCAACTTACAAACTGCTGACCAGATAATTAATATATAATGAATAGTGAATGGGGATTTTAAGATTTAGAAAATCAAAGCTGTATATTCCATATACTGTCGTCAATCTCAATCAGGGTCACTCATCAATGTAGGTTCGAGCCTCACTCTAGGCTTTTAATTCCATTCATGTGAGGAAGTCCACTAAGAAATTGGTTACTGGGCGCCTAGAAAACC